TTATTATTATTATTATTATTATTATTATTATTATTATTATTATTATTATTATTTTGTTTGAGACAGGCTCTTGGTAAGTTACTCAGGTTGACCTGCCATCTGTGATCCTCCTTCCTCAGTCTCCTAGGAACTGGGATGTCAGGCTTGTGCCACTGCTCCTGACTCGGTGCACTTTTTTCTACCCACTTTACCACACAGGACACTGAGACTCAGAGAGTTAAGGATCTGGCTAGAAACACAGCTCCTAGAGGTCCAACCCGGCTTCAAACCCAGGACTGCTGCTCACCACAGCCATCCCATTGCCACTGCGCTGCCCCATTTCCAGCCCTGCTGCAAGACCCACACCTAACACAAGCCACCCTTTCCCAAAGCACTCTTGTGCCTTCCCAACTCCACCCTGCTGGAAAAGCACTCCTTCGGATCCAGGCCCGATCTTGACCTCCCTCCCCTATGTTTATGTTCCTCGTAACAATGCAAAGATGGGTGTATAATGTGTATAGCTATCATTTAAAGGTGGGAGGAGGGATCACTATTCACAGTAACCTGCTCAAGGTTAGGACAGAACCAGAAACACAGATGCCTTGGGGCGAACTGGAACACCAGGAGTAGAAGGGAGAAGCTTTTCCATATCACCTTTTGCTTCTTGTGAACCATGACAGTATATTAGCTACTAAAAATGAACAGAATTAAAGTTTAGAAAAAAGGTAAAATAAAATTCTACATGCTTAATAAAGAAACAGATCTCGCCGGGCGTGGTAGCGCACTCAGGAGGCTGAGGCAGGAGGATCGCTATGTGTTCGAGACCAGCCTGGCCTACATAATGAGTTCCAGTTCAGTCTCAACTACACATAGTGAGATCCTGTCTCAAAACCACAAACCCCTCAAAAAACAAAAAAAAAAAAAAAAAAAGAAAAAAAAGAAACAGATCTCACCAGTCCTTCCAGGCTTTGCCCAGAATCCCCCTGTCTGCTGGGCCACTGCATGCCCTTCCCCACAGGGGCTCCACCTGCAAGCCCATGTGCTCTGAGAGGGCGGGGTTGTCGGGTAGACTCAGCTCTGGGCCTACACCCCAAACTGGGCCCCGGGAGCACTTGGGAGCAGTTTACCTGGCAGCCCCCAAGACGCGCTTAGCCTACCGAGGCACCCATGAGCCAGGACCCCTCCTCAAGAGGCAGCAAGCCAGATGCCCTGTGCAAGCACAAGGCCAGGCTGTCCGGCAGGAGCTCCTGCCCAAGGCTGCTGCAGTCTGTTGGTCAGCTGCCAGGGAGAAGGACCGAGGATTCTCCGCGTGGAGAAAGCCACAAGTCTGGCGTCTACCTTCAGGACGTCTGCCCTCTATCGCCTGATTGCTCCCACCTACTCACCTCCACTTCTTCTGACTGCATCAGCAGATTGCACGGTGGGGTCAAGGCCTTCGGCCGGTGAGTGAACCAGTAGGCGAGGACGGCAGCCAATGCACCCATACTCACAAGGGTGGTGGCTGACAGGCTGCGGAAAAACTGGCCCCAGTCACCCATCTCAGGCAGCCGCAGGATCCTCAGGATCTCTTGTGTCTGCATCTTCTCCAGAAGCGAGAGAACAAACTCTGTAAGAGATAGGAAGCGGATGAGGGAGCAGAGCCACTGGGCAGGCCCCAGGGGCAGGGGATGCTCTGTCACAGGCAGCTCTGGCCTGAGCACGTTGGGGTGCATGGTTTCCTGGTGCAACACAGCGCACCCATAAGCTTATGGTGCCCCATAAGCTGGCTCTCGACTAAGGGCTGTTCCTGGTAAGAAACCAGAGCCCGCGGACCCGACCCTGGCAGACATCTGGCCCACTTTTCTGAGAGCCACAGGCTCAGGCCCTAGCTATGACTTAGGCTGCTTCTGGGTCTATCAGGGATCAGGTGTGCTCTCAGAGCAGCTCTGAGCACGCAGCTTCTCCTATGTGACCACGGTCATGCGATTTGCTTATCTCTGCTCCTAGAGGAGGGAACAGATTGAAGGGCGGCAGAAACACTAGCATCGTGTCCAGGATGACTGGGGTGACGAGGCTCCCGCTCCATGTCTAAGCTCTCAGCCCCGTCCTGACTCTGACGGAGAGAGGGAAGAAGAGCTGGGCGGTTCCCACGGATGAGACCAGACAGACACCCGCAGGTCTTGTGATGGGAAACAGCGGCTTACCTGACTGCGCTAGCACCAGGGCATGGCACAGCCGCACAGTCCGTGCCGAGAAGCACAGCTGGCCTACCACTAACTGTGCCCTTATCCCCCAGCTGATCCCCAGGAACCCCCCCAGCAGAGGGGAAGGAACCAAGGCTCTCGGATAAGGGGCTCAGCTGTGTGCTGTGTGCATTTCTAGAAGCAACCAGCCTCTTGTGATGTCACAGATGGTGGCCCGGGCATCGCTGTCACCCACGGCAGCCCATGTGGGTACGGTGGGCCTCTCAGGGTGGCATGGGGGATGCCCTGGGGCAGACAACGAGAAGGCTTCTGTAAGAAGCACTGGTGACTGACTTTGGTTCCAAGAGGGCAGGTCCCAGGGGCTGTGTCCTCTCTGTCAGCTGCCGGAAGAAGCTGACCAAGCAGATACACAAGCCAAATGGGCGCAGCTCTTCGCCCAGGACTCACCAAGCTGTCAAGGGTGGGCCCGGCATCCGCTGTTACATCCACCCTGGGACGCCCTCGGGTCACTGCCCCGTAGTAATTAATAGCAGGGTTCTAGCCGCTATGTGCGCCTACAGGCACCCTCCTAAAGGGCCTTCAGCCCTTGGAAGCAGTGGCTGTGGTTTTCCTTCTTGGGAACAAGAAGAAATGCAACAGTGGCTACTGTGCAGTCACTGGAGAGGAGCCAAACAGTTGCGTGATCCCTGAGGGAGGAGAGATCTGCTGAAATTCCAATAAATGGTATTTGTGCTACACTGTAACATTACCACGCGGAGATGAGGTCAGTGATGTGCAGAGCTGGGGGACAGAGAAGCAGAGACAGCCTGAGAGAGGTATCTCCAGTTCAAGTCCCTTCATCTTCCTCTACTTCCCTCGGGAACATAAAGCTCTCCACTCTACAGCTGGCAGTCAGAGAACTAAAGAGACGGCCCCAAGGGGACTGGCCAACCTCGGACACACAGACAAGGGCTGAGAGCAGGCCTGGGCCAGGCTGGTCCAAATGCTAGGCAGAGGCAGGACTCGGACCCTGTGGCCCCATGTAGGGAGTTTATGGTCTACAGATGCATAACAGGCTATGCGAGCCCTGGGGAGACTCCCAACCCTCCACAGGACTGGGTGTTCCTGGGGAGCAGGGAAAGGGACCACCCAGTGGGGAGAGCTGGAGTCCAGTTTTACTAGCAGCCTTCTTAAGCTGGTCAATTCTGAGGGGCTACCCAGGAGGGCCCACACCTAGCAGATCGATCCAGGTAAGGCTCTGCATCACCAAAGCAGAGGAGGAGGTACAGACGACAGGGAATTCACGACAGAAAACTGAAGATGGGAGACCTCTGGGTAGGTAGCCAGCTGGCCGTTTCGGGGCACTTCTACTATAGGTGTGGTGGCCACGTCACAGGCAGGCCTGTCAGATAAACGACTCTCTAGGGGAAAATCTGGACACATGCACCGGCTCTCGGAATGGGCTCTGACTGGACTGACGGTCCCTTTAAGAAGCTGAATTGACTCGGCTGAAAAGCTAAGGCCCAAGAAACCCCTGACCAGCTCCACAAGGATCAGCTACGTGGTCCCAACAGTTTAAAGAGCACCTGGAAAGAGTTCTGGGTCCTTGGCAGCTGCTGACAGACCCTAAGCTTCAAGAGAAAATGGGTATTTATGGCACTGGGTCTAGAGGTGTCAACAGAGCACAGCCCATATCGGCCGAGCTGGTCATCTGTGTGTCCATCTCTCCACCCAACCAGCAGACCCTCACATGGGCCTTGCTCTCACCTAGCTCAGTGTTGGGCCTGTCCTCAGTCCCTAGGAAGAGATACGAAGCAGACAGGACAGGGTAGTCCAAGCTGTGACCAGACGGGGCAGGCCAGAGGAAGGGCCCGATTCAGGTTTGGAGGTCAGGGCGGGCTCCTGACAGGAAGTCATACCGATGCTGAGGTGAAGGAGAAGCGGAAAGGGGGCCCAGCGGAGGAGAGCAAATACACACTGGCTGGACTTGTAAGAGAATGTGGAACACTCAGAGAACTGAGTCTTCTCTTCAGACAACAGTCTTGGACCCAGAAATCGATATGAAGGTCAGCGCTGTAAGTCTGTGAAGCTGGCCCCGGCACACGCTGAGCTCTATGGAGTTGCTGTGTTAATTAGCACAGTCCTCAGCAGAGGGAAAAATTGAACTTGCCTGAACTTCCTGAATGCCTGATGCCTGGGAAGCCCTTTCCTATTCATGGCACGGTGTGACCCTCACAGCTCCCTGTAGTCACTGCAAGGAGGGAGCACATAGGGACCCTTCCTTCAGTGATTACAGTACATGAAAGGCAGCTGCAGAGCTGCGGCTCAGCCCCAAATCACTTGTGTGATCACCCCAGCCCCTGCCAACACTGGACCCAAGTCCCACAGGCCATCCTCTCCCTTGTAGCCAGCAGAACCCACAGAATACCGGCTGCCCACTGTGAGGCCCAAGTTCTGGGAGGCGGGTGGAGGTGCAGGGCCAGCAGCACCTGGGCCTGGGTTCAGTCACCCCGCCCACGTCTCCAGTGGGCTCCCTTCTGCCTTCACCTCAGGAACTTGCCACCTTCTCCTGGCTGGGTCTTTTCTTCTCATCGGGGCAATGGAGAGCAGTGGGCAAAGAGCCTGGCTGTCCGCTCCTCTTCAGGCGAGGTTCTCGCCCCAAAAGAGCTACCTGCAATGGCTACAGCTCCTCTGGCCCCAAGGCTGGGCCTGTACCCCTACTTGGCTGGGCAGTGACAAGAAGGTCTCATTCTTCTAGGGTCACTGACTTTCTCACTCAGAGCTGCTCCTGTTTACCCTAAGATTCCCTTGAGGCCTGAGAGCCACTACAGGGCACAGCTGCGGGTCCAGGTCCTCTGAGGACATTGGCCTCAGAGCCAACCCATGCCACCAAGCCCTTCGCATGCAAGAGGTCTGGGAGTTTGGGCTCCTCTCACTTTTTCACGGGGCCTTGGCCTTCTGTGACCTCTTCTCTATGAACCTAGAGTGGGGCTAGGTGGTCCCCGGGGTTCTAGCCACAGTTACCTCCTTCCACACCCCAGGAGACTCTCTGGGTTGCAGCAGCTGTGGGGGAGGGGGACATCACCCAAGGGATCAGTGGTGCTGGTGTTGCCAAGTGAGCAGCTGGGAGTATTTGTAAATATTCACCTGGCAGGAGGGCCCAGCCCTGAGCAAAAACTAACCTCCTCCTCTCCCTCCTCCTCCTCCTCCTCCTCCTCTTCCTCCCCTCCCAGCAGAGCCTATGCCTTTTTTTTGAGCACAGAACCATTCTGAATACCAAGTGGTACCTCGGGCTGGAGGCTCTGGGACTTCCTCTCCCCTCACTATAGCCTCGGCCAGATCAGGGTTCATGGAGAGTGGGTGGTGAAAGCCACAGCTCCTGCGAACCAGGATGGGAGAAACAGGAACAGAACTGGGGAGGGGGGGAAGCAGGTTGGCCCTAAAGTGGTGTCATGGCAGAGGCAAAGCCCTGAAGCAGTCCCTGCAATGTTCCTGGGGCTATTGTCTTAGTTCCAAGAACCGCGGCTGGTGCAGCGTCTTAACCGGCACCTCAGGCCCCACAGTCCAGGGGCGTGGCTCTGTGAGGAAGGACGGCTTCTTACGCACCCCTCAAACCTGACCGCCCCTCCATCCCCTCATTCCCAGGCCTGGTCCAGATTCCCATGCCAGCCTCTTCCCAGGTCCCCTTGCCCTCGTCAGTGATTATACTGAGCCAGTTATTTTCCTGCAACACAGATGTGACCAGGTCATGCCACTGCACCAAAACACTATCTGGCTCTCTACTGCCTCAGGACCAAAGCCCAGCTCATCAAGCTGGCACTGAGGCCTTCTGTGCCCCTCCGAGCCTCTCTTCCCTGGGAACCACCCAGCCTCCCTCTGTATCCACCTTCTTACAGCAGGGTTCTGAGCCTCTGCAAACCTCCACGGCCTTCAGAAATGGCACCAAAGCATAAGCCAAGACACCAAATCACCAAAGAACCTCCTCTGGTGAAAAGCTCCAAAAAGAAAATTTCATCCTCTCCTAAGGCCCAGGAACCTCAGCAAATAAGCTAGAGAAAGAGCCTGCAGGGAGATTCTGGAACTGGACTGAACTGGGCCCAAATCCTGGCTTAGAACTTGAAAGCTTTGTGGCCTTGGGCAAGTCACTGCGTACCTCTGAGCCTCAGCTCAGTCAAGCTGCTGGACGGAGAGCAAGGCTAGGCATAGAATAAGGAAAACACTGACTGGATAATGGTTAGCTGAAGCAATTATTCCATCTATTTGCCAGACAAAGGGGCTCAAAGACAACTTGCAAAAGCAGGTGCATTCATTCCCTACCTTTCCAGAGGGCTCCTGGTACTGAGAAGGTGGCAGAGCTGGTCCCACTAGAGCTAGCCGCCCTTTATAGGGCCTGTGGGGCCCAAAGACAGAGGTTACCACATCTCGATCAAAGCACAAAAGTGGAGAAGGCCTTGACCCTGGGGACAGCCAAGAGCAACAGCTGCTGGCTCTGAGAAGCTGGGTGGTGGGAGAGGTGTTAGCGGAGGTGGCGGCGGCTCCCTGGTAGCCGTAGGAGCAGGTCTGGCAGGGACCAGGGCACAGAGCAGCTCTGTGAGGAGCTGCTGGCCCCTCAAGGCCCCCACTGGGCCCCCCTTCATCTGCACACGGGGCAGTGCTGGCTGGGATCAGCTCAGAGCCAGGCAACCCAGCTTAACCCTCCGTCTGCCAGTCAGTCCGTCAGGGTCTTGACAAGTTCCCCTCTCACCTCCACCCCCAACTCATCTTCAATCCTAGAGGAGAGTTTGCTTCCTCCTGCATCCACCTGAAGCCCCAACTGACCTGGGCAGAGAGGGTTTGGAGTTTGGAGTGAGCACAGCAGCGGAGGCTGCAGGAAGCAGTGGGGATGCAGGAGCTCCGGTGCGGAGGGAAGACGGCCCCACCCACCCAGGGAACTCTATTTCCAGTCTCTCCTGAGAGCTTCCTCCACTGCCCACCCCTGCAAGGACACAACCCCTCTACCTGGAGAAAGGAACTCAAGGGAGCAGTCTCAGGTAGTACCTGCTCAGGGACACTCTGGGGATTGGAGATGGCTACACCAGCGAGCTTAGTCAGGAGGTGGAAAAGAGTGACTCGTCTCTAAGACCGAGGGCAGCATGCTGGTCCCTCCCTGATGCCGGCCCTAAGAGACTATTTCCTAATGTGAGCTCTGAAACACACCTCTGCTGAGAAGACAAAAGTACCAGGGCCTCCCAGGAAGAGCCTCGCTCCTTCCAAGCCCACCTCCACAGGATGGGGGAGGGCTCTGGCTACTGCTATGGCCTTTTCACGCCAACTTCCACGGCTTTTCACTCCCACTTACCTGGCTAACGTGTGGCCTGGCACACAGTATGCACAGCTGCACTTGCTGGTGAGGAAAAGACAAATCCAGGACACAAGACCCCAACCGTGCACTTCTGGGCATTTTCCAGTCTGTCCCAACTGGGTCACTCTGTCCACCCAAAGGACACTCCCTTCCCCTGCAGCCTGAATGTCCCAGGGCATGGTCTCGGTTCCAAGCTCCTGGTTGAGAGCTATTTGCCCAAACTGTCTGGCAATTCCAGAGCCCTCAGGAAGGTGACACCTTCTCTGGGCCTGACCAAATTCTGCCACCACTCACCCCATCGTCTAGGGCAGGTCACAAGAGTAGCTGCCTACCTCCATAGCCCTCTCCTAGAACTTGGCCCCAGAATCCCCCAATCCACCCCAATTAAAACACACAGATACTTGAGGATCTATCACTGGCTCACAAAGCCTTTTCCCTGTTCTTCCTGGCAGAGCCCCCACTGGATTCAAAGATGTCTTTCTTTAAATAAGATAAAGTCTTCCTTTAATACCTCTCAGGGAAACCTCTGGGGCAGGAAATCCAGGGGCCACAACCAAAGAGCTAGCTGGTGGCAAAGCACGCTAGATGCCAGAGGCATGGAGCTGAGGGAACAGCTCTGCCCCAGGAAGTGCGTGGCTCAGGTGCCAGGGCAAGAGGCACACAGCTCTTACCGTCACACCCAGGCCACCTGCCCCGCAGATGCGCACATGCAGCCCACATAGCCCACACAGCCGCACAGCCACCCAGCACAGGGATTCTCCTTGCATCTGCTCTGAGAAAGGGGCTTTCTGTTTCCCTCCTGGGTTTTAATTAACATTCACAGAACCTCGGATGATTGGGGCAGATATGGGGCCAAGGGCCGCCCTGACTCAGGAACTGCCAAGAGAGACCCACTGCATGTCCCCCACGGGACAGCGGCCGTAACATGGGGTTGCTAAGTTACACAGTGGCTCACCCGCCCAGCCTCCCCGAGGAGCCCATGGTGCCTCCGAAGGTTGAATTAAGCCCCCTGGATGTGGAAAGGCCCAGCTAAGCCTGGCAGTGGCTGCGTGGCAGAGCCACTGATCCCAAGCCCATTATGAACATACCCGTTAGCAGCCTTCACTGACCCTATGCCCCCATCCTCACAACAGGACCTCTCAAGAACCTCACTCACCCCAAGTCCTGGCCAGGGAACACGGACCCACATTCCTGAGCACTGCCCCAGGAAGCCAGGCTCAAAAAACACGTGCAGAATTCAAAAATACGAACAGCCTTGAAATGTAGAGGAACAAACAGAAACACAGTGTCTTTTGCAAGCTCTGAGATAAAGATTGCCTTTACGATGAACAAAATTCAGCAAAATTCTCAGAGCAAAGAACAGAGGTAAAACAATGACGGCAGACCCTTTGGAAACAGTTACAGAGTACAATGCCCAAGATTGGTGAGGTGGATAAGCCAAGGTCTCGCTGCCTCTCCTTCCACATAAGCCCTGGGACACAGGCAGAACCCTGAGAATACCAGCGAGGGCCATGGTGACCACATAGGCAAAGGGACACCCCCTGGCCAGGCTTCACTGTACAAGAAGCCAAATCTTGTGGCTGTAACAGATGGATGTATGTATATTAATGTTGCCAGGGTCTTGTCCTCCAGAACGGTGATCCATTTCCATCACTGACCCAGACTCAGGACACACCATAAGCTCCCCGGGTTCAAACTCTAGAAAGGACACTGACTGCTCGTGCTTTAGGAGTTCAACTGCAGGCAATCAGGTACAGATAGGACAGGGTCACCGCCTCCAGCTAGCAGGAGCCTGGCTAGGGCACAGTGACACCGTGGGTTGGTGAGTCATAGGAAGAGCCTGTAAGGTATGGCACAGGAGCGCTCCAGCAGGGGCAGGAAGAAGGCACAGGCCTGGCTGGACTGAGGACCAGAGCAGGAAGCCAAGGCTGACAGGATGGCAGTTAGCTGTGCAGGGCAAAATACGCAAGTTGGTATACTGTACGTGGCCTCTTGCTTTCCGAGTCACAGCACAGGAGCTAGCACTAGCACCCACCCGCTCACTTGTCGGATGCCGGGGAAGGGAGGAGAGGTGTCTGGGATGCATAAGAGCCCAGGCCAGAGGTTTCCCTGTACTCCTGCGCAGGCACAGCCTTTACTGCCAGGAGCTTGCAAGGCTCCTTCATGCACCAGGCCAGGTGTTACTGCGCGCGCGCGTGTGTGTGTGCGTGCGTGTGTGCGTGCGCATTAGACACTGAGCAAGAAAACAGTTTTGCTTTTGGTTAAGGGTACATTTCCTGGCAGATCGAAAAGGTTTTGAAAGTTGTTTAGCTTTCTGGCAAATTCAATCAATAGCTTTATTTTCTGCTTGCCCCATACTCTTGACATAATTTTTCTTCCAAACATCACAGAAAGGAAGATATATGAATTTCTCCCAGTTCAGTGAAAGCTGGTGTTGGTCAACAGGAACCTGCCCCTCCCAGGTCTTTCCCTGCAGGGCAGGGGTGCAGAGCTGCTGCGGCACAGGGCCAAGCCTTGCTGCTGGCCCAGGAGAGCATCATAGGGTTAACGGCTCACTCGAGTCCTGGCCTGAGGCGGACTGGGGCACTGGGAAGTCAGGCCTCCCTTTTCAAGGCCAGGATGAATGGGGAATATGCAAATGACCGGCTCCGTGCAGGGCAGGGGAGAGCAGGGCAGGGGAGGGCCGGCTGCTGGCTGGCCCATCACTCCACTCCGGGCCTGTCAAATGAAGGCATCCGCGCTGCTGCTCCTGGCTCTACAGCTCCGCCAGACTGGGGCTGTTCTCACCAGAAAACAAAAATGTCTTTCAGACCAAAGCAAAACGCGGCCCCAGCTGGCCCGGGAAGGCCGCTGGACGCTTTCACACTGACCTCCTCAGAGCGCCCATCACTAGAGTTCTCGCTCGCCACCCTCTCTGGAGAGGACCCGACACCTTCCACAGGGCAGGGAGTGGGAGGCTTCTGTAGCTGCTGAGGAGAGCACCGTGAGGTTAAGACACAGGATCGCACCTTTGGAGGCTTTGTCCTTGTCAAAAACAGCAATGGCTGAGACCAAGGCAGCACACTTTTTTTTTTGTTTAACAAAACTTCAGGAATTCTCACGGTGTTGGTGGTGAACATGGAAAAAGAAACAGGAAGAGAAACATCCGATAAACAAGAAGACTTTGTAGTGCACAGAGGACTTGTAAGAATGGAGACCATGTGCATCCTCTGCCTGGCATCTCTCCGCTCCGGGTGGCTCCATGAGGCTGTTGTTGGAAGTGCTGAGCTGAGCACGGGGTTCATGGTGACCCTGAGCACAGCGTGTGGGTTTAGGGCCTTTGGGGATGCCCCACCCACTGCCCCACCCACCCAAGGGCTCAGATGCCTTCTTCAACAGAGGCAGCATGACAAGGTAAGACTTCAGGCATTTTCAGACTTGAGCGGCCAGAAACACTCCTTTTCTGATACCCTACAGTTAACCAAAGCTGTCTTTAATGACAGGACAAATCTCGTACTCTACAACCACGGATGCCACGCACACTCCCAGCAACAGGAGGCAATGACACAGCAAGACCAGTCAGCCTGAGGTCTCAGCTGGGACAAAACCACTTAGGACTGGTTCTGAGCCAGCGGGAGGGCTGCAGGGTGCCGCACAGATTCCCACAATCCAAGGGCACTGTCAGCCTTTCAGCCCAGCTGAATGGCCAATTACCCACCGCCACCTCCTTCTTTAAATCTTCCTATTTTAGTTGGGGCCACACAGCGTGTGCATGAAGCTAATATGTCAAATGTGTCTCAATGAAAGTTCAAGGGGCCATCCAGGGAGGAGAATCAGGAGGCAGAAGAGGAGGTGGAGGAGAGTTCAAACCAGATCTAGAAAAGCAGGCTTCAGGGTAGGTTACCATCTACCCTGTTGTCTGGTCTTTGGCAAAGAGGTCAGGAACACAATTTCCAGATCCCCCACCAGCCGAGAGAAGACCTGCCCTTCCCCTAGAGAAAGCCAGGCTTGGGAGGAGCAGCTTCAGGCAGGGCAGGGGACCAAATATGGGACTCAGTAGGGGTGAGTAGGAGAAAACCACAGCCACCCCATCTGCCGGAAGTTCCATCACCCTCACCCCGGAGTTCTCCAGTCACTAAGCAGAGTCCTGGGGTCTAGGTGGCTTCATGTAGCCCCAATGCTAGAAGCAGAGCAGAGGGTCCTGGGGCGCTGCCTTTTCCGAAGTCGAGGAGTCACTTCAGACCCAATGGGCCCCTGCTGTGTCCCCTCCT